ACGACTGCTACTACTACATTGTTCTTCATACACTATTACGACTAGTACTTCTTCCATTACGGTTATTAGTATCACCTCTTCTTGTGCCGGGACCTTTTTTACTTTTTCTTTCCGCCACGACGATTGCTCCTACTACAACCCATGTTACGATTACAACGATTATTTGTGTTACTGACCCTACTACCACGCGTCCGATTCATATTATTTTCAACCCTTACTTTTCCAACTACGATGACTCTGGCGACTACTATCACTTGGCCTACTACCACCTCTACTAATACTACTACGGCTACTACTACGATGTCCCGACTGCTACAACAACTATGATTTCTACGGTTACGGGTGGCTTTTAGTAGTCGTAGTACAACTATTCCCATTGCTGTGACGACCGATGGTATTACAACCGCTACTACGACTACTACTATATTTGCTGTTCTTTGCTATTATTATTTTACTATTATTACGGCTGTAGGCTGCCCCCGGCCGCAGGCCTCTCTCTCGGATAATGGGATATGCAAGAGCTAAATCATGAGGCCTCGGCGCCACCGTGAAGCAGCATCGGCAAGAGAAATGTTGATTATGATTGTATTGTTGAACGCAGTGTTCCATTAAGAACCCGCCTCCGTATGCTGTGCACTGGGGTTTCCCACAGACTTTCGGACATGTGGCAAATCCCATTGCTTTTTCGACCCTGACCCCGCCGATCTGCGTGAGGGGTGCCGCCGGATTTCAGGAACGTTGCACATCCCAATATTTTGTCGATCCTGATCCCGCCGATCTGCGTGAGGGGTGTCAATTTCGACCACCCCAGAAATTCTGAGAACCCTCCCAGGATGTGCTGACCAGTGTGTTTTTCGGCTCCCCCACCGTCGCGCGGTCCACATCAAGGAACAGTAAGCAACAAGAAGCATAATTGTAACAGTGGAAACTGGAGACTGGAACTGGCGCAGGGAACAGCAGACCCTGAGCCTACAGCCTGGTGGCCACACAAGGGGGCCGGCGGATTTTCAATGGTTTATTGCATCGGGAGCGCAATTATTTGATAATTTACGATGGTGTATGGCTTCGGAGACGCGAATATTGCGTAATCTACAAAAGGTTTATGGCTTCGGGGACGCGAATATTCTGTGATTTACAAGCGTTTGTGGCCTCGGGGGCGCAATTATTCTGTAATGTACAATGGGGTTATAGCTTCGGGGACACGAATGTAGCGTATTTTGCGAAGGTGTATGGCTTCGGGGACGGGAATATGGTGTAATTCGCATGGGTTCGTGGCCTCGGGGACGCGAGAATTCTGTAATTTACGAGGGTGTATGGCTTCGCGGGCGCGAGTGTCAAGTATTCGTGCGTGTCCCACGCCCCTTCCGGAATTTAGAGCGTGCGACTCGGGCGTGGTAGTCCGGACGCTTTTTGGCTCCCCCGTCGCGCGGTCCACAACAAGGAACAGTAAGCAGCAATAAGCATAATTGCAACAGTGAAACTGGAAACTGGAACTGGCGCAGGGAACAGCAAATCCTGACCCTACAGCCTGGTGTCCCCACAAAGGGGCTGGCGGACTACTATCACGACTACTACTACTACGATTATTATTACTACTACTACTACTACTACAACTACTACTACTACTACTACTACCACTACTACTACTACTAGTACTACTATTACTATTACTACTTCTACTACTACTACCACTACTACTACTACTACTACTACTACTACTACTACTATTTTTACGACTACTACTACTACTACTACTACTACTACTACTACTACTACTACTACTACTACTACTACTACTACTACTACTACTACTACTACTACTACTACTACTACTACTACTACTACTACTACTACTACTACTACTACTACTAGACTACTACTACTACTACTACTACTACTACTTACTACTACTACTACTACTACTACTACTACTACTACTACTACTACTACTACTACTACTACTACTACTACTACTACTTCTACTACTACTACTACTACTACTACTACTACTACTACTACTACTACCATTATTACTATTATGACTACTACTACTACTACTATTACTACTACTACTACCTCTACTACTACTACTACTACTACTACTACCACCACTACTACTACTACTACTACTACTACTACTACTACTACTATTAATACTACTACTACCACTACTACTACTACTACTACTACTACTACTACCACTACTACCACTCTACGACTACTACTACAGCATTGCGACCACATTTTCTGCTGCTACTACTACTACTACTACTACTACTACTTCTACTACTATCACTACTACTACTACTACTGCTGCTACTACTACTACTACTACCACTACTAACTACTACTCTTACTACTCCTACTACTACGACTACTACTACTACTGCTACTACTACTACTTACACTATTACTTTACTTATACGACTACTCTTACTACTACTACTACTACGACTACTACGACTACGACTACTATTACTATTACTACTACTACTACTACTAGTACTACTACTACTACTACTACTACTTCTACTACTACTACTACTACTACTACTACTGATACTACTGATACTACTACCACTACGATTACTTTTACTACTACTGTTATTTCTACCATGACTACTAGTACTACTATTTCTGCTTCTACTACTTCGAGACGGCTACTACTACTACTACTACTACTACTACTACTACTACTACTAGTACTACTACTACTACTGCTACTTCTACTACTGCAACTACTACTACTACTACTACTACTACTGCTACTACTACTACTGCTACAACTACTACTACTACTATTACTACTACGACTCACCACAAATATTATTATTACTACTACAACGGTTTCTATTGCTACGGCGACGGCAACTACTACTACTACTACTACTACTACTACTACTACTACTACTACTATTACTCGTCTACGACTTATTCTACTACTACGACTACTACTACTTCTCCTACTCATACTACTACTATTACTACTACTACTACTACTACTACTACTACTACTACTAATTCTATTATTATTACTACTACTACTACTACTACTACTATTCCGACCACTACTACTACCATTACTACTATTACTACGACTACTACTACTACTACTGCTATTATTATTACTACTACTACTACGACTACTACTAGGCGGCCAGGCTCACGGGTTCCCTGTTCCGGGTTTTTGGGTTCGTGGTTGCTGGTTCCGGGCGGATTTCGGTGGGCGGCGGGGTTCCCAGGTTTCCAGGCTCTTTGGTTTTTGGTTGATCTTTTTTTGATCGGTCTCACCATCGATTTGATTACCCACCTTTCTGTCATCTCACACCCGATCTCAGAAACGATGTTATGATCGATTTTACACCCGTTCTCATGATAGATCTCACGAGCGATCTCACGATGGATCTGACGACCGGTCATCTCGCTGCATCGACTTCACTGTCGGTCTCACGATCGGCCTTACTCTCGTCCTCACCTTCGATCCCACAATCGATCTCACAATCGACTTCAATATCTATGTCAATATTTTTCAAACCATCCATTGGTTAGGGCTTTCCTCAGGTGTCACATGTGTGTATCCCCCTCTCTCTGTCACATGGGCCATTTTATCATACGTTCTCTCAGCTCATGCCGCACCGGGCGGGATTTGGTCCGACCATTGTCCACAATGTCCAACAAACGTATGGAATCATACCATGCGGTGCCCAAATTCTTCCAGACGGGGCAATTTTACGGAAATGGCAGCATGCTGTGCCCAGTCTTTGATCTAAGGAAAGAGCCGCAATGACATAATATCATCATGGTCGCGCGCGCGTGCGTCTCTAACTCAGTGAGAGGCCTGGGTGCGGCTCATGTTTATATTAGCGGTTCAAGCTATTGGTCGTTCAATGCAAGACAGTTTTCGTATTTTCTGCGTTCGTTTGCCAAACTCATACGTAGGCTGCGGTTTTGCCAGAGGCTGTCAACCCACCACTGCTGGATGATCTCGTCACGTGTGAGGGGCTTTTCGAAGCAGGGTTCAATATGGTTACGCGGCCTTGCGCACGGACTTTGCAGCATTTGCTGCGTGTTCTTGTGCTTTTGCTCACGGCCGGTGGTGTAGAGTAGGGAGTCTTCGAGGCTACGTGTAACGAAGGAACGTCAAACCGTATGAGTCGGTGGGAGGATCGGAGTGGTCGCGTTCCATGCGGACATGCACATCTAAACCTACGCACACCTCGTAGGCACCGTTCGGGTGATAAGGAGGTTGGGAGGGGGTGAGGAGCTGTCACTTCGATTTGCATGTCGATGTGCATTTCACTGCAAGTTTAGGTATACTTCCATGTGAGTGTCGTCTTCGCATGTCGATTCAAAGTTCGATGTCCACATCGATTAGACATTCGATACGCCTTTTGATGTGCATGTTGACTTGCATTTCGCCTGTCTAGTGTGCAACCAGTTTCGGGTGTTGATCTGTACCTTTCACGTGTAACCGCAGGACGACCACGGGACAACCCACAGGAAAACCGCGCCACAACCCCCGGGACTACTCGCGGGACAACCCGCGGGACAACCCACGGGACAACTACGGGACAACCCGCGGAACAATTTGCGGGGCAACCGACGGGACAGCCCCAGGGCAACCCACGGGACGACCATGGGACAACCCGAGGGGCAACCCACCTGACAACCACGTGAAACCCATGGGAAAACCCATGGGACAACCACGTGTGAACCACAGGACAACCCAGGGGACAACCCCTCGAGACAACGGAGAGAACTTTTTTGCCCGACTTGGCCCTAGCCTTAGCTGACACATCATCACCCTGGCGCAGCCTCGCCTCGCCTGCACACACGGCACGAACTGAAACCGGTTTCTCATGTAATCCGCTCACTCGCCCCAACTTCTGATATCGTTGTTGTCCTGTCATTGCACCCGCGACGTAACCAGAATTAAGGCTAGGTCCGTCCTGGGGGCCGCGCGCGCTGTCAAGCTTGCCGCTGCGTGAAGTGGGCAAGTGAGTCCGTAGCCATCTGGCCCGAGCCTGCAGTACCGCACCGCCACCCCTTGCTCGAGCCGTCTCGCGCCTATCCAAGCTACATGGCCGTTGGAGCTCGTGACCGCGACGGCGACAATGCGATCAAGGACGGGCGCGGCTGGGCGATGCGGCGTGGCCACTGCAGGCGGCTCCGGGGCGACCTGGGCCGCGAGAGCCAGCGCGGGCGGGCCACCTTTGCCAGGTCGCTGAACCGTTGCTGCAGGAGGCACAGCAGGTCCGCGCGGGACGGGCCCGGGCGGCTTCGCGAGCGGCGCGCGCTCAGCAGCGCCGTGCTCCTCCGTTGCGTGGGCGACTGGCAGCTCGCTGAGGAGGAATACCCGCCCTGGTCGGAGGAAAGCACGGACGCTGGCTGCGCTTACTCATTGTGCGGGGGCGGCGAGGGCGGCGACGCATCGGCCGCCTCGGTCTGCAGCGTCGTCGACTCCGCGGATTCGGCGACCACTGGCGACTGGGAACTGGTGGAGCCGCCGCAGCCCCGCCTCGAGCGCTCGGCCAGCGCGCCCGTCACTGCGCGCGAGTTCGGTGCCGCCGAGGCTAGCCGCAACCGTGCCCTCGTGCCGTTGCGGGCCTGGCGCCGCGTGTCGCTTACCAACGCCCAGGTGACCAGGTCGCACGGGCGCGCCCGCTGCTGGCGATGGCTTCTGGCCGTCGAGCTGACCGAGCACATCGCTGCCCTGGCGAGTGCGAGAAAGTCCTCGGCCACGCCGCTGCGGCAGCGCAGATTCCTTCGGGAGGACAGGCTGGCTCAGACCCTGCGAACGCCTTTCGATTGCCTCCGCCTGCAGTTTCTCGACGAGCATGGCCAGGCCCTCCGCACAAGGATCGGCCAGCACTTGGGCGTGCACCCCCAGATGGTGAAGCTCACAAATGCCCCAGTGGGCCCAGACCCGGTCGCCCGCTTCATGGACGCGAAGGCGAGGCTGAAGGATTGCAAGTTGTTGCCTGTCTACCACGGGACAGACTCCAGAAACTTCCAGTCGATCTTCAGCAGGGGGCTGCTCATCCCAGGGAGGGGCAACGAACTTCGAGTAGCACACGGCTCAGTACATGGCCGGGGCATCTACACGGCAGTTCTCGAGAACCCTGGGCGATCCTTTTCCTATTCCGGCGAGAGCCGCTCGCTGCTCGTCTGCGCCTGCTTGGAGGGGGGACGGAACAGCGACGTGCACCTGAAGCGGGTGTTCGGAACCATCGTCGTCTTCGACCCTGACCGGGTCGTCCCCATGTTCGTGGCCCACGACCCGTACAGGACCTGGGGGGGCAAACCTGAGACCCGTGCCGCAATTCCCCGGACCTCTCCTGGGGTGCGCTGCTCTGCCCAGGATCTCGAGGAGAGTCCCGCAGCGGCCCCTGCCCCAGAGCATCTCGCCAGCGCCCCAGAGGGTGGGGCGCGAGGGGGGCCGCCTTCCGAGCAGGCGGAGGGGTCCACTGGGGAGGGCGGGGCCCTCTCAGAGCCCCCCCCCCCCTACGCTTGGGGCGCCGCCGAGAGGAGCGCCCCGGGCTGCGCCCCCCGCGGCGACCCGCCGCCTCCCCCAGAGCGCGCCGGCGCGGCGCGCGCCGCCCGCAGGCGGGCCCGGGCTGCTGCCCGTCGCGCCGTGGCCGCGGCCGCCGCCGCAGCGCCGCGCCTGCGGGCACACTGCGCGCGGCGGGCGGCGCGGCGGCGGAGGACGTGAGCGGGGCCTCCGAGGAGCTCGCCTTGGCCTTTGGGGGCTGCTCACGGGCCCGACGCGAGCCCCAGGCGCGCCTCGCGGCCGCTCTCGCGGCCCCTCGGCGCTGCTCACGCGGCCCCCCCGCGCTGCTCGCGAGGCCTCTCGGGGCTGCTCACCCGGCACACGGCCTCTCGGGGCTGCCCCGAGGAGTTGTCGCCTGGCCTCTCGAGGCTGCTCGGCCTGGCCCGATCCGAGCCTCGCGGGAGGATGTACCGCTGCCGCCGTGCGTCCTGGGGAGCCCTCGTCGCCGCGGCTGGACTCTTCTCGGGATCCTGGTCAGAACGCACCCTCGGAGAGGTCCGAAAAATGGTTGCATCGGTATATCACTGGTTCCACCCCGATCCCTAAGCCTGGATGCCGATTTCGGGGACCGGCCCAATCTCTAGCATGAGCAGAGGTCCCTTCTCCGGCCTTTCAGGGTCCGAGCCTTCTCGGGGGCTGCTCATGATGGTCTTCGTCTCCTCGCAAGAGGGGCCTTATCGCTGGAGCGACCTCTGATGCGGGCTCGCGGGGGTTCCCCCAGCAGTTGCCTTCACGCTTCTTCATTCCACATTGTCCCCCCGCGGCCCCCTGAGGCCGCATACTAAAGGCCACTACTCTTTCGCGTGTAGCCAAGGTCCGATCCGATCCGATCCCCAGGCGTGGAATCCGATTTCGGTTGTAGGGGCCGAGCCCGAGCCCGCGATCCCAGACGATCCAATTCAGCGCCGCCTCGGGCGCGATCCTGCCTGCTTCCGATCCAATCCTGTGTTTGCGGCTCGATGCAGCTCAGGCTTGCATCTCGGAGCAGTCGCGGATCTCCCTCGCTCACCCTTCGTTCTTGTTCTGCCTTCTTTGCCCCCCCCTCCTCCTCCTCCTCCTCCTCCTCCTCCTCCTCCTCCTCCTCCTCCTCCTCCTCCTCCTCCTCCTCCTCCTCCTCCTCCTCCTCCTCCTCCTCCTCCTCCTCCTCCTCCTCCTCCTCCTCCTCCTCCTCCCCCCCGCTCCCCGTGGAGAGGCCACGGGGAGCGCGGGAGCAGTCGGGCACCTGCTTCTTTTTTGCGAGCACGGCCGAGCCAGAGCTGGAGAAGCAGCGCCCAGGATGGGCGGGTGCCGCGAGGGGGGAGAAGATCCTGGCACCGTCTGGCGGGTTCTTGGCATCGCTCGGACGTGTGCACTTTTCCTTCGGCGAGGGCCATCGGCGGCCATCGAGGAGCATCCTTGATCATTTGGCGAACACGCCACGCACGAAACCGAAATAAACATAGGGAATGGACGTGCGAGCGATGGCCAGCTGGCGGGTTCGCGAGATGCGCCCTCGCTGGCTGACGGGGCCACCTGCGCTGCAGCCTGGCCCGATCCAGCCATGGTGTACAGGCACGCAGGGCTCCTTGATGTGCTGTACAGGACGCGGCCACGCTGCAGGAGATGCGAAAAGAGGACGAGGGCGGCTGGCGACCTAACCTGTTCGCCAAGCGCTCTGGAACATATGAACGTGTGAGACTGGCGTTGTGGGTCCCTCTCGGACCGTCTTGGGGCGCTCTGGGGTCCGTCTGGAGCCCTTGGACGCCATCTGGAAACTCGGGGCAGTCTTGAGGCACTCTTCTGGGGCCATTGGCCGTGTCCTAGGGCTTTCTTAGGCCGTCTCAGGGCCCTCTTGCGCGGTCCGAGGGCCATGGACTCTCTGATTCGTTCTGCTCTCGCGGCACCTTCGCGGAACTCGCCAGTAACGCTTGCAGTGATCGTGGTCAGTATTTCAATTACATCGAAAGAAGCGCGTTGTCAGCGGCCCGTGCAGATTGACGAGTATCTAGCACATGCGGCGTACAGTCGGCCCATATTAGTAGGTCGACCCTGCCAAATCAAGGGTACCCTTGTGTCCTGTCTCGCGACTCGTGCCTCCTGCATTCCTGTGGCAATGTGGCCCTCGGAAGTGTCTTGTGTCCTCTCGCGTGTCCTCTCCAATGAAGTCCGACTGTAGTGTATTCACGGATATGCCGCATATCCGTTAGTATATCGGGAACGCAGGGGAATTGTTTCTGGAGTTATCGGAGTCATCGGGAATGCATGTCTGGAAGGACCCAAGGTTGTAACACCTCGCCCCTGCTCAAGATATGCCGTCATGAGAGCGCGGGTATATTTTTCGGTTTCAGCGGCATTCCGCGTGGTGACGGGGGGAGCGAGGGCTCTGGGCCGTTCTGGAGCCCCAGATTGCGTTTCGCCGTCGGTCGCAGCCAGCGGAAGCCCGTCGGAAGTAAATTGGCGACGGGTCTGCTGGCGGACTCGGGCGAAAAGGTCGGCGGACGGCGGGGAAAGACAGGTTTAGACGCCAACATTTTCGGTTTCAGGGTTCCCCAAGTCGGGAACGTAAATCGAGGCGATGCAGCGTGGTTGATGTCTGAATGCACGCATGATTGTCAATGTGTGCATTGAGGTGTGCGTGCATGCGCGTGCGCTTTCGTGGGCGCACACGCGAACATTTCACTGCAGCGCATGCTCATCCAATTCGCGCAGCTACACGGCCTCTTCATGTGCTTCTGAAGCTGGATTCGTGCAGCCGTGTCCCTGGAGGTCCCTCGGTCTGCTTTTGTGTGTTGGCAGCCGCAGGGGAGGGGATCACAGAGGGGCTGGCCAGGTGAATTTTGAAAAGATGTTCTACGACTGTCTCAGTGCCGTGTTCCCTGAGGCGTGGGACGTGCAGGCAAGACAGATAGGTGGCCAGAACCAGTGGGAGGCGCGCGGAGGGGAAGGGGGGGGCAGGCCAGGAGCAGGCAGCTGCGGTGTCGCCGCTCTCCACCAGCCAGCCACTTGCTTCAAATCCTTGATACCCACAGACAGGTTACGTATACCGAGTAGTGGTGATGCGTAGTATGTGCGTGTGTTTGTGCACATGTGTGCGTGTGTGTGTGTGTGCATGTGTGGCCCGGATGGCAATGTGCTGCCCCCCTCTGAGCCGGCGCGCGCGGGCACTGGCCTTGGTTTCGGTCGCCGTACTTGTCTTGCTTCGCCTCGTCGCAGTCTGCGAGTGCAGCGACCGCCAATTGACAAGTGCGCGTGTGTTACTTAACGTATAAGCGCCTACTTGTATGTAGATGTGCCCCATGGGCGTGCGTACGTTTGCACTTGCGTACACCCAGTTTACACTGCACATGCAAGCACGTACGCAAGCATGGCCTTGAAGCGCAGCGTGCCGGCATTGAACGCAAAGTCGTCAGACGTGGTATCTTGCAGTGTGATGTTGCAGAACGTAGCGTAACATGAAGCAATGTATTACGGTGCTTGCCAGCGTCTCCCCCAACCAGTTTATGTTTGCAGCTACTCATCGGGCATGGCAAGGCAATCGTCATAGATGGCACCCACACATCGCACCATGGTATCAGCACGGACATCGCAATCGACAGAGGCATCACAGGGCGCGTCGGGCCTGAACCCGAAGACGGAAGTCGGCGTGAGGTGCGGTAAGCCTCGGCCCGCGCCGCCCCGTCGCCTCTCGGTGCTGCGCTGGCCGGGCATGCAGCGCGCCCTGCAGCGTCACCACCCGTAGACCACGGAGCACCAGGGGCAGGAGCGCGCCAGTTGCAGCCATCGACATCTCAGCGCACCAGATCTCGGGCACCAGATTCCAGGCACCACCCATGGAGCACCAGGGCAAGAGCGCGATAGTCGCGCCCTCCGTGGCGGACCGAAATAGTCTGCGGCGTGCGCTGAGTTAGGCGGTGGAGCGGTGCGTGTGGCGCGCTCCGCTGCCTCTCGAGAAGGAAACGACCGCTACACTCGCAGCCACCTTGTTTCCGAATCCTGTGCTTGCCAGCCAGAGCCCGTTAGTGCAAGCACTTGTCGGAGAGTTATGGTTGGCCTGATGTGATCGCTGTCCATGCGCTGCGTCGTGGTGCCCGTACTGTGACAGGCCACGCTCATATCACGAAGCCATCCGCTTAGCAGCAGCTCCACTCCCTCACTTCCCCTGCCTCCCCTCTTGCCCACCCCTTCCCTTCCGTCCTCCCAGTCTTCTCGCTCCACGGCACCGCGGCGCTTTCGCGTACAGCCGAGAATTTGATCAACACACATCTTTACTTAAGACATTTGGGACGACATTCCAGAGCCTTCTTCGACCAAGCTTGGGCCCATTTCTGCTATCAACGCTGGAGGGCGAGTGTGCTCTAAAAAACGGAGCTAGTTTTTCAGCAATTTGGTCAATACACGCCGGCCCAACTCTTCGGGATGAGGTTTCTTAATCGGATGCTCAACTGTATAGCAATTTGGATGTCTTTGGCCTCGGCGCTCGTGGCAGACGGCTTGGCTCCACGATGAAACATCGAGGCAACCGTCGCCGACATTTCCGAGCTGCGGGGGCAAGCCTGCCAGGCGAGGGCTGGATACGCACATGCCACCAGTGCACCGCACGTCGATGGCTTCATGTCGGGTATCGCCAGGACCCCAGGTAAGGGGACCCGGTTAGTGGTAGGGCCCCGGAGCCCCTAAATTGACCAGAATCACTAAACCAGGTCTGCCGCAGCTGTTTTTTTTCGGGTGACGGTAGTTCCAGTTCGTGGTACGGGGCGGGCGGGGCGTCCCCTTCAGTACACGTCACCGAATCAGCTTCCACCAATCCCAGTTTTGCCAGCGCCCGATCATGCTTTGAGTGTGTCTTCCCACCCACCCCGCCTCCCCCTCCGCGGCCGCTCTCCTGCCTTTCCCAAGCACAGGTGAACAACTGGGGCCACATGCGACCCCTACCCCTACAACCCACGATTTCTGATAGGAGTAGGATTAGCACCGAGCCCTACTCCTGCCAACCCCTGCCGAACCCTGCTCCTCGGGCTGAGGGGACGAGCGAAGTGAACCCCACCCTCCCCCTCAGAAGTCGTTGTTGGTAGGAGTAGGGTTCGCACGTGGCCCCCATGCAACTGGCTAGTCCGAGGCTCCCTGTGGCCCGCACGCGCACGCGCACGCGGTCCCCGACCGCTGCGACAGCGCGAGCCTCCCTCCAGCGCTCGGCAACCTCTCTCGTGGCTGTGGGTGCGCAAAGGGCCCTCCGCGCGTGCATCTCTGGCGCGTGGCCTCCAGGGGATTTCCGCATGCGGATCCGGCCGCCCGTGCTTCCAGCTTGAAGTCGGGCCTGTCCCTCAACAGCAGGAGTATCCCAGTATAGTTTTTTGAAACATAGTCTGGGGACGGTTTTCTGCTTCTCGATTTGAGCCGTTCGGGAGTATTTTGTTTTGCGGATTTTCCAGTTTTCCTTCAAGATACGCCTGTAGGGGGACAGGCCCGACCTAATCCCAGCTTCTGACGTCCCGCTCTCCTCACCGTGCGGTCACAGAAGGGGGCTGTGCCGCAGCGTCATGCCGAAGCACGTCGGCACCCGGGAGCGATCGGCCAGGAGGTCCGGTGCAGGAGCGGGGAGAGGAGCCCGAAGGGGTGCTGCCTGCGCCTGCGACTGGCGATGCTTCGCCACCAGAGGACACCTGGGAATGGGGGGGAGCGGAGGAGGACGAGGAGGAGGAGGAGGAGGAGGAGGAGGAGGTGGAGGAGGAGGACGAGGAGGTGTTTCAATATGGCCAGGCAAGTGGGTGAGAAACATTGCCACGCGTCCTTGCAGTCAAGCGTTAGCGTTACTTCTGACATTTTGTTCAAGTGCGATCTGCCGTCTAAGCAAAAGTCCCCTACCTGATTTTCTTGGTACCGGAACCCGTGGTTCGACCCGCGGGTTCCAGAGCAGAGATGACAGCGGCGGCCGCTGCAGCGACCTCAGTGGGCCCGGGCAACAACGACCCGGACGAGTGTCAGTTTGGATCAACAAGCGCTGATGAATACACCTCGCGGGGCGCGAAACATTTTTTCAATCACGCGTGCCAGAGGGTCGTCGCTGGCGCCGCCGAGGAAATCGTGTACCTCCTTGCATGACAGCCTCACAACGACTCCTTCTTCGTATAGAAAAATGTATGGGGATCGTCACGCGTCGTCGCCGTCGTCGTCGTCGTCGTCATCGTCGTCGCCCTCGTGGTCGTGGTCGTCGTCGACTACAGCGGGCCTACGCAGCACCCCCCCCCCCGCCATGCGGCATCCGCAGGGCGTCGTCGTGGTCCGTCGTCGTCATCGTCGTCGACGAGAGCGGGCCTGCGCAGCCTCCACCCCGCCGGGCACCCGCAGTGCGTCGTCGTCGTCGTCGTCGCCACAGAAGTCGTCGTCGTCGGGTACGTCGTCGTCGTCATCGTCGTCGTCGTCGACGACGTCGTCGTCGTCGTCGACTACAGCGGGCTTGCGCAGCCCCCCTCGTAGGGCGTCCGCACTGCGTCGTCGCCGTCGCCGTGCCGTGCGCCGTCCGTCGTCCTTGTCCTCGTTCCTCCTCTTCGTCGTCGTCCTCGTCCTCTTTTCATCGTCCTCGTCGTCGTTGTCGTCATCGTCGTCGTCGTCGATGTGCAAAGCTGAGCTTGGGGGCGAGCATGCGCCTATAGCTTGTTTCGTTGCCTGCGCATCTTCGTCCGTCAGCAAGTGCGCCGATGACGCCGGCGGAAAAGCGGCCGTGAGATGCGCTGGGCGCGCGCTCAAATGGCGTTTCCCAGGCGTGGGGGCTGCGTCGCGCACCTGAAGAAATCCGCAGGGCAGGAAGCGGCGACCTCGACGCAATATGGGGGTGTAGTATTTGTGGGGGCGCACGAAACAAGTCAGGAGTTAATCGTCTGCATTATGGACGTCGCCACCAAGCTCCGCGACTGCGCGGAAGAAACAAAAAGGAGAGATATCATCCAGAAGAAGCCACCCACGTGAGAGGGGGGTCTCGGCGACCAGACCCCCGCGCACCTGGGGCGGGCGTTGAGCCCAACGCGATGTCACCCATGGCGGCGCCAAACCGAGATTCCTCGGTCGACGCCGGGCCGTTTGTGGCCCGATGGGGGAGCTATCGAGATGTCGGGGCGCGCGGCCACGGCCCGGGCGCGGCTGCAAGGTCATAGTGTTGGGGGGGGGGCGCGGCGCCTGAGCCGCGCGGCCCAGCATGTCGCGAGAAGGTTATCGGTTGCTTCAAAAGGCAAGTTGACCCGATTATCCTGGACATGTTAGCGGCGGCCGAAATGAGGGCGGGGCCCAACAGCTCCAGGCAAGACGCGAACAGGGAAGACATAGTGATAGACAGTTGGTCACTCAGAAACGGGCTTGCTTCCCGACGACACCGCGAACCTTTAGTCAAAATGTATGCGCCCAGAGAGATGCGAACGAGACCGCCCAAATGCTGGCGATGATATTCGAACCCATGTAATCTATAAGACGACGAAAGGGGACCACAAGGACCTGTCACGAGGACCATAGACGGGATGGACTGACTTCCGCATTGCCTCTGCACGCGATGGCGACACACGACCAGCCAACGTGATCCCACTGAGGTCAGGAGCAGCAGAGAGCGAGAAAGGCGGAACTCGGCGGTGCGAGAGGGCCAGAGACGTCATAGAGGAAGAAGATAATAATGATGAGATACTGAATGAGGACTACGATGACGATGTCCGCACGGGGTCGGACGACGACAAAACCCGAGCACGCAGAGGAATACTTGGATAACGTGAGCTCGGATGAGGTACGCGCTGGTACATGCGCGATGAGGTTCGACGCCGGAAGTGCGGAGTGCTTACTCAGCGCTGCTTGAGATGCCACGGAACAGGTCAGTGGCATCGGCGGGGCAGTGGGATTGCGCGGCAAAGGCCAGCACGCAATTCAATCGCATGTTGCTGAGGTCTACTCACC